TATTTGAGTTCAATTCGATTTGATTTGATTCAATTTGAAAAAATCAAATCAAATTCAAATTGCTTAAATATTTGATTCAATTCGATTTTGAAGAACCCTATTCACAATGATTATATAGGCTAATTACTCAAATTATTACATTATGCTCTTGCATTAAACAGGAAGTTTCTCCCATCTATTCTCTTTCATTATCACATTGTTAAAGCTTTAGTCATGTTAATGGATTATTTTGACTCTCATATATTCTTCTAAGTGTCTTAGCAACTTCATAGGTATTCTTTGACCTAAGTGGAACTAAAGATTTAAATCTTGAGATGCAGTTTACTATATTAAGTACTGCTTTATAAGTCTTACTTCTATAATGATCATGGGTCAGAAATAATATGTTGCATTGATAGACACAATTTGGTCGTGTTATTCGCCTATAGCTGAATCTGAAAACAAACTTAGAAAGGCACTTATAAATCTGATATGATTCTTGTTGATTCAACCATTCATTTACAGCTTGAAGTCTAAATCAATACCCCTCTTTTTTACACACATTTCTTAGGGATTTAGGGTTAGAAAAATATCTAATAAGTCAATAATATATCTTTCGTAGAATAAGATTCTGTTCTATACTATAAGTCTCATCAGGATCTATCAAAATTTGCGGTTGGTTCATTCTCAAGGTAAGATTATTATAATGATACTATAAATTAGGATAAAATACCCATGTTTAATCCAGCATATTCACAGCTTTTAGATACAAACCAGGAGCTTCATAGTGAACTTCAAGACAAAATTTCTATTAATAAGAATAATGAGAAAAAAATTCGTTTCCTCGAGAAGGAGCTTGAGCAGTATTATCAAATTATTTCATCTCAGGATAAAACTATTATAGCTCATGAAGAGGAGATAAAATCTCTCAAGACAGACATCAAATCTCTTAAATATCATCTTCGAAAAAATATTGTGGGATTTAAGACATAAAGGTAATGCTAGTACTTCTCAAGATATCCATATTTTAAGGCTGGAAGATAAGGTTGATCAGCTTAAGGGAAGAATTCAAGAGCTTACAGATAAAAGTTATTATTAAAAGGATCAGATATGAATTATACCATTTAAGGCATTTTAGATAGATGATTCGAGGCTTCCAGTTCTTTAGAAAAAATAAGAACACATTTGAATAATAATGAAGTTGTTCTCCCAAATGATATAACTGGGAAATTTGATAGAATTGGTATATGTTTTACTAATATTATTATAAGTCTTAGTTTGATTTGACTAAAAATGATTCCCATAATTATTTTTAAAATTTTTAACTAGTTGCAACTTAAGTTGCAACACTTTGAGTTGCAACTATTTATGAATTTTTATATTAAAATAAATTTACAAGGAATTGTAATTTATCGAGTTGCAACTTCTTAATTATGGTATCCATCTTTAGATTTAATAGTATTGGCAAGATCGGGAACACTTTATTGATCAATTAATTCAGCGAGCCAGAAATGCTAAGCACGATTTGCAAAATCTTAGAATACAGTTAGAGCATGATAATCAAATGTTTAGACAGGCTTTAAATGATGAAGGGGAAGCACATAGAAAGAATTGGGAATTGGCTCATGATTTGTGAGCATATGCTCAAAGTATGGTTACTAGAAAACAAAATCGAATTAATGCATTATCACAAAAAAAATTATCCTCCAGCTAATAATTCGATGTAGAGATGATCAAATTACTGAGCATAGGAGAACTGCGCATAGATGGACTATAAGATATAATAATGATGCTGAAAGGTGGAGAAGACAACATGATTGTATTATTCGATAGGCTTAGAATTGTCATAGACATTATAGTGATGAAAGCAGGAAACACCAGAAACAACATGGTAATACTCAAAGATTAGAAGGAGCTATGATAAATAATGATGCTAGAAAGCAAGCTCATATTAATACATTAGTACAGGAGAAGTTTGCTCTTCAGCTAATAAATAGAAATTCTCAGCAAATTTTTTTTAATCTACAGAATAATCCACTAAATATATCAGGAATAGTAGAATACAGGCTATTACGCCAGTTCTTTAAAATGCTCAACTTAAATAAGTGTTATGATTACGTATGCAGAAGGTTTCCTTCATAAAGAAGATAGAGAACTTAATTATAATTTTATAAGTGTAAAGGA